GTGTTGATTTAAAACTAATGGAAATTCTCCGAAAAGAATGGTCATGGGATTACAGTTGATTTTCCATGACGAAAAAAGCCGACTCAGACGAACCCCGACCCCACTTCTTCTATTGATATCGAGGGCGGATGAAACGTTGCATGAGTTGAACAATCTGACCAAGTCGCAAGAATGCTAATTATTAGCCAGTTAGTAGTACACTAGGAAGCGGTGTGTGAAAGTTAATGGGAACGAGGAAAATTTGATGTTTGAGTGCTGGCCATTCCACTGTCTCCTCATCTCTTCACTGACGTTATGGTGTGGGTGACATCTGTCAACAGCGAAACGAAAAAGTACTGTTAAACGACTTCAGAGGAAGAATCGAATGGGAAAAATTCTTGTTTAAAATAAGGGCAATCTGTATGCTTTCGATAAGCCGTTTATAATTTAGATTTATAGACTAAGTTCTCAAGATTGCGTAGTTGGGACATAACAGCATCCCTCCACAAAAAAAACGATTCATTTAGAGATGTTCACATGAATGATATTCAAGTAATAACTGGACAACTTTGGACGCCGCTATTTGACTTTTTATCGAACTTAATGAGCTTAGGGCCAAGTATAAACTGCTTGCTTCACTCTACATATTGAGTAATTTTGAATGCGTACTGCTGAAGGTTAGCGTTTCCGCGCACCCCACTGCGAACTCGAGCCATCGAATCCATAATCACGGAAAATCTTCATAGTGAAAAAAGTGTAATTGTCCAATTAGTTTGCAAAAAACAAAACTCTTTCTGACTCGACAAACTCTTCGAAAATCCTCAACGTCTCGCGCTTTAAGAATCTCACCTTCTAGAAATTGGGAACTAGAGTGACAACTAAGGTTCTTGGTAATACGCAACTTCCCAATTTTCCATCTATTCCTCGTGAGTGGAAAGAAATGATGTCTCTAATGCTCCACAGATCTACCTGTCTGAGGAAATCACAAACGTTTAGTCTTGAGACTTTGTGGCGCTTCTCCAAGTGGCGGACAAAGTGATAAACACAGGCCAGAAGCGCTTTCTGCGAAGCACATAAACATACATGAAACGAGCTCCTTCTCTCCGTTGTGCCATTCTGGCATAAATTTCCTGCATCTGTACAGAAATACTAACCTATACGGTGAATTGGACAGTGAACGTCAGCTTCCTTTGAAAACACGCACTCAACTGACTGGAAGGTGTATACGTGACTCGGAACCACCTGCTATTCCTAATGTGCTCGTCAGAATCTGAAGTTAGTGTCTCTTCCTCCGCGCCAAAGCTCGGTAATCTTCTCCTGGTGCAATTTTGCAAAAAATCAGGTGAAATAAAGTTCTTCTTTTTTAACCCGGAAATGTCACTCGATGCAACACTGTTTGTTCAGATGATTACGGAAAGGCTGTTATAATTACATTGTCGTTCTAGGTCATCTAGGAGACTAGCCATTGGACCGGCAACATTAGAGGACGTGCTAAAATTTCCTATCACGTTAGCGTGAGCCGAAACATGAACATGGATGCTTCTGACCAATTAGTGACTCCGGATGTTCACCGTTAAAAAGATGAGGGAAAGATGGAAGCTTTGATCATATGCGCCCCCTAAAACATTATATCAATCTATAAACACGAAATGGAAAAGTTCTGCAAAGAAGACCATGCTTTCTACAAAGTTAGTCATCATTAGTAACTTCGATATCAAAGTTGGACACGCAGGAACATAAAAACAACTCCACGTCGGAAGTCAGTGATTGGAACCAAATGAGCATGGTGAGCTGATATAAGGGTTAGCCATGGCAATGAAAGTAATTGATGGTAATTCGCGATTCCAAGGCCCTTTTCCTAGTTTTGTAAGTGAGAGTGCCTTAATAGAGAGCATTACACCGGAACGGACCAAATCATAGTCAATCGAAAGTTTTTTTAGCCTCTACCACTGTTTTATTAAACAACTACTTAACTTACTTTTCGGAGTTCTTGCCTTCTTCAAAGCCGTGTTAAATCCGACAAGTTGATCGTCCGCAGCAGGTCGTTGACGCAATGTGTGGCACTCCCCTATTCAACACGCTTTGGCAATGGTCATTAGAGTAGATTTCTCGTTCTGTAGTTTGGTAGCTTCTAGAACTTTATGTATTGAGGTTTTGCAAGTTATGAAGGGGTAATGGAGCAGATTATGCACCGGATATCCGATATCGCAACGTAAAAGAAGGAGGCTGAAATCTCGAAAGGTGTCGACGAACAAGGATCAGATTGGGATTAATGGCGCTTGCTCGAATCACTCGGAGTTCAATAGGATGAGAGGTAATGCGGTTCATGTTTTAGTGCTGTAGTATATAATATAGAAATTCTTGGTTTTATCTGGAGTGTAAGCTCTCCCACAGATGCGCTCACAGTGCCAAATTCGCATACTCACTTGCGCCTATAACAACCATATAGGTTAGAAAATAAGACAGACTTTTTCGACTATCCCAATAGTATTAAACTTCCTTATTCGTTTAATCACACTCTCCCTCTCTCTTTTCTGAAACTGTGGTACAAATATGATCTGATTATAGGTGCCCTGCAATACACACGTGCTCTTTACTTTTATCCCGAGCTCGAGCACACCAAGCCTTCCATCCTTCGAGTTCGCCAACCTGATATCAGAATTGTCTTGAAAAATAGCAGCACCGACTTAATACATCGGCAGTCTAACGACCCCCAGTGAAGTCAAATGGATGGGGCGTACTTCAAAGATTCATCAACACCCGGAGCTTTATCTTTTTGTCTCTTATCCTCATCGACTACGTTTAAACAGAACAAACTGAAGTAGTTCAATTCAAGGAAACTCACCCTTTACTAATTTGTATTTCATCAAGTTCACATACATCCAATGTTACTTTGGTTCACAAGTCAAATAGCGCTCGATTCCTTCTCTTGTCCTCTAGGATTATATCTAAGAGAATGAAAAGACTAGTGTTTATGTGCTGCACGGCTATGCAATTTATACATTATTCTAAAAAACCATAAAGTTAAAGAATGTACTCAAATTTTTGTAGAGTCTTTATTTCATGATCCAATCTTCATCGGCTCTGCTCATCGGATCAAGAAAAAAAATTGGTGATCAGTAGCTAAAATAACCCTCCGTGAATTGGACTTTAACTTCGTACTTCTAAATGAAGTAACTAATTAATAGGAATTCAAAAAAAGAGAAGTTTTGCAGGGAACGAAAGTGGTAACAATTATCATAAAACGTGCCATTTGCTATTCGTTTAAACATGGGGAAAACAATTTATACTCTTATACAAGAAAAATCTTATAGAGCATGGCGAGATGTGGCATTACATAGGAGGTAGATACGAACTCTGTTAACAAATATTTATCGAAGAATGATTCATAATGCCTTAATTTCACATGGCTGTTATCACTCATTCCTTTGGATATACAAGCCCACACCTAGAGTATCTTCCGCATTTTTTAACCTTTCTCTTCCTGTATTCACCTGGTTCCTAGTCTCCTTCTTTCTCGGCTGAAATGTTTCAGTTGGGGTGTAATTTCTTAGAATGAATACTGGCCGTTGGCTAGCTGGACAATCATAGCGCGTGCTCTTGCGTCCGTTACTTAGTAACCATATGATGTGGCGACTACTTTCTAGATCAAGATTGACCCTATGTACCTCATACCGACAATATACCCTTCAGTTTTTCATCTTCCTTCAACTGCTCAATTACTGTTCGTTTTTGCCTGCCTCATTTATTCGTGCTGTGGACAATCGGCCTGTGATGGTACGCTCCACTTTTCTTGAATTTTTTTCTTTCTTTGGTAAAAAAAAGTTTTAAGTGCACTATTAGTCAGTATTTGCCGTAATAAAGGTAAAGAAATTACATTACAGTTTATTACTTCTACAACAACTTCTGTCATTTGAAATCCATTAATTATCGTGCAACTCGAATAAACGCCGCTAAAATCTTCATCTGTCTGTTGCGCTTCTCTGGTGCTTTGTGAGCTCCGTTCACTTAAGAAAGGCGAAAAAAATAGCATCCCACTTCCAATATAAGGCCATTATTCTCGCAATTTTTGGAGAGGATTGGAGATTATTCGTCCTTGAACGTATACCAAAACTGGAGGAAACTATAGGAAAGGCGGGGAGTACCTACTAAATCAAAATCACGCAGTAAAACTCTCGTAGAGCAAAAAGGAATCAAGGGTCCTCATTTTCACTACTTCAGATGGGAAGGTGGCAACGCATCGCTAGATTCTATTGATGATCTGGACTTATTCTCGAATAGCTTATCGGTCTATAAATAGTAGAGATGTATCATGTTTCTTAAAGGCAACACGGAGCTCTATGTCATGCATTTTCTCACTTGATTTCCCCTTCCTCTCGTCGAATAGAAATTCTGGATACAAGCTGTAGACGTGCAAATATACTTATTTAAGCATACGTACCTATATGGCTTTTACAATTCGCGCGGTCTCTAGCACCGTTCCCATTCCACTAGGACTTTGCTATTTTGACAACCTCTTTTCTTTTTAAATACCGCATATGGTCGTGCAGAGGACTAGATACCATCAAAAGTAGCAGTCTACCTGTAACTAGAACAAGGTTTGCCGCTTGCGACCCATTCCTCCAGAACAGCGACGACTGCTGATAAATTTAACAATTCTCTGAGCTTCTCAGTGTTAATTTTTATATTTATCAATTTCCACGGTCCTGAGAAGTGATCAACAGCCTGTTTTTGGTCGCAACATAACGTACAATCATGACATAGGTACGCTAAAGCGGCAAAGCCATCGAAAATATTTACCTTGATTATTATTATACCCTATTGATTAACTGACTATTGTAAATTATCTTGAGAATTCCAGCGTTATGGAAAACTAACTAGTTGCTGGAAAACATTCCACTGAAAGTGAGTGAAGTATTTCAGGCACAACATATTTAAATGCGACACGAACAAAGCAATACCTTTCGACTCCTTTTTACGGTAAACGTAATTATCCGTCAAACATGAATTGCTATTTTGTGATGAAAGCTGACCCGGAAAACAGGATTATGGTAGAGATTTTGGAAGTAGACATGGAAGCGCAGCTCTTTCGATCGTGTTTGGACTACATTGGCTTCCATGACGGTGAGTTCGTTCAACCTACTTTTCTTCAATCTCGTAATTGGTTTATTTGCAGTTGCAAAGTTATTTTATTCTTTTAACTTTAATATTATGGGTTCTTTCCTCTGACCGTGGCCAAATAGCATGTATTTAAACCCACTCACCAATTCTTCAATACGCATGGAAGCCTTTAGGTGTGCGCATCTGTTCGGCTTCTCCCATGTTTTCGAAATATTAGTCATATAAAAGTAACGTAAACTAGAGAGACTACCATGAAACAGCAGTGCTACTTAAGTAGAATGCTCATGTGAATAATTTGAAATTACGCTTCTATGTTTCGTCTCAAAATCGGTTTAACTTTCTTTTGTCAGGAAATCAAGCGCGACTAACTCCGCCGTACTTGTCATTTTGTGGGCAGTTGAGGAACAGACAAGTAAGCGTTTACACAGCATATTTATCACATTCGTATCGGCCTGTATTATTACTCTCTTAAGTTGTTTTTTTTTCTTGCTGTTTTAACACTTTCTAGATATCTTTCTATCATGTCGATGGCTCTACTACAGATATGTTCAGTTATTTTGCACATAAAAAGCTATTTTTGAACCACTGTAATTTAAAAAGGATTGGTGGAAGAGTACCGTAGCAGTTAGCGATGAAGCCCCTCAGGAAACAAGGTGCTGGTTCAACTCCCTCCCTAACACACTCTCCCAGTTCACTTCGGAACATCCTACCTCATCTATCTCAAAGACTGCGAGAATTCAGCTCAGCCAGAATTCTACAAAATTCATAAAGAAGGCGACATCCATAAGACTAGTAGGAACAATTCGCGGAATACTCGAAGAGCTTTCTAGACGATGAATGCGAGGACAACGAATCGAGCGCAAGAATCGCTGGAATCTACAGAGTTGATGTGATGATGGGCCACGTAAAATAAAAAAAAGTATAGCCTACAAAAGACTAGTTTTGAACAGGCACGTGGATTATCCTGCGGTGGTGAAAAATTGCTCGGTATCCCGAGGAGCCACGTAGTGCATACAACTATTATTAATTCACCTTTGCTAAGGTTTACCTCTCATTGTTACTTATGCTTCCGCTGTTTTCATCTTTTTCCATCTGATGCCCTTCTATACTGTTTATTTGTGAAGTCTTCACTGATGAAATTTAAAGTTCAGGTTACCTCTCAAAGTGATTCGTTAACCATCCTTTTCATATCTGACGAGTTAGTGGAAGGTCGAGGAGTGAAACTCAGTTATGAAGCTGTATGTGAGTCTTATGAATGTATTTCGCATGCATTTCTCAATTATCAGTAGATCATTTCCACTCTACCGTTACCTAATACATCTTCCACAGAGCTAGTGAATCATTAGTTATGGGGCTTAGGTGAATTCATTAGCTAGATTACTTGTGTTGAAATGTGCTATTTATTAGAAACCAGCAATTCGAACGGAAACGCTTCTTTATGCCGTTAATGCTCGTGGGCTTCACTTCCGATCGAATCACACGGCCAAGGCAAAAAAATAGAAGAAAGACGGAATATGAAGAAAATATGCTTAGTTGATGCCCTTTTTCGATAATAAAAAAAGGAAAAAACAAGAAGAGAAACAAAAGCAACCATCGTTGCGGCGTCTGCTTTTCACGTGCAGTCGTTTGAAATGCAGCCTTATTGTTATTGTTGGTCCATTCGTCATATCTGAGTGGAGTGCTTCAACTTAGTCACGCATACTGATGTTGTCAAGCTGACACTGCAATGAGTGCTGAGATTGGCATAATCTGTTACCATCATCAACTACGCAGACTTTGTAAAAGTTTTTCACATCAAATTGCTGAAAAATTTCCACGGATTAAAATTTAAATCAGAACCTATTTAGATTTTTTCATTTATGAGATCACACTATGAAGTTACGGCTTCGAAAGCTGTTGTTCCAAATCTAACGCCTAACAAGTGATATGGTCCTAAGAGGCTTTACAGCCTACTCCTTTTCTTTCTTTTTCTTTCAGCGTTCGGCGAATGTGATATCGGCTGGTTGAGTAGAGGTGATGGAATGTGCTATCGGCATGTCGAAGCAGAACCGAAGGTTGGATGGGCAGACGCTCAGGTAGAGTTCATGGTGTAAAGATTTGTTGCCAACTTAGAATCTCGGTTTGGAATCAGATTTCCTTTCTACTTGTTTCCCACGTTCTTCCACAACTAGACAAGTATTAAAAGCACAATATTTTAACTTATATTTATTGTCTATTCTTTTTTCTTAGGTGGATGTCATGTGAATTAGAACAAAGCGATGCTGAGACATACAACAGTCGTTGCCCCTTAGATAATTTTCTCTGGCTGATAAACCTTGTTTTCGTTTTAGGAGCAATGTGGCCAGATGCAGGCTAACCTGGTGAGTATTCGCGACCAGAACGATTACGACTACATGTCAAGTTGGTTTTTATTCTTTACACGTGCACCATTTTTCAAAAGTTTATCATCAAAGCGAGGATAGTGTCTGAGCGCTAAAACTTCTTTTTTGTGCTATGATGAATGCAACCTAGTTGTTTAGGTGTGGATATCAATCTTGGGCTATGATACATGTAGACTGATGCCTTTAAACCCTCAGGTTCCTTTATTCAAGGCACGTGGGGCTTTTTAGTGACCACCTTTAAAATTTATATATGAATTCATGACATCGGTAGTCGGTAGTAAAATACTTCGAAAAAAATCTGAGCCACGTCGAAGGTATAACGAGAAGGCGCAGATTACATGAAATTTATCAAAATGATTTTAAAAAAATCACTGGGTTCCAGTGTGAAGTGTCACAGCCACAAAATATGGCTTTAGAATCTTTTGGCCACACTCCGTCACATTCTTGGATTGGATACACGGATGCAGATCATGAAGGAACTCTGATGGGTGTGAACAGCAAGTTGAACACTATCTGGCCGTAAGTATCAGGTGTCCTACTAAATATTTTAACTTAATAATTTCATAGCAAACTTGAAGTTGTTGATCGCACATAAACCAATTCCATAAAGTACATGCATTGTGGAAAGTGCAGTGGGTAGATCTTCTTTTTACCATCCTCGTGTTAGCTTAATGAGCAAAGAAGGCAGTGGTTGGAGTTACGCACAATAGACATGGGTTTTAGCACACACTTGCGAACATTTGTGGTGAAGACCAGGAAATGCTGTAGTAGAGCTATCCCAGAATACCAGCTAGAATCAGCTCAACCACCATTCAACGATAATCGTTAAGCAGACAAAATCCTCAACAATCAGCTGAACCAATGCACAATTTAAACACCCCCCTCCCCCCCAGTTGACTGATGAGAAGAGACAAATACAATGAAAGGTGCGCCGAGATAAGATACTTTGAACCACGGAGGCAAAGTTTTGCTTGAAGAAGGATACTTCTTATGCATCTATTTAAGTATGCGTCATAGCAAGGTTATTTTACATAAAGGTACTCAATATAACGGAAAGTACATTGAAAGGTGTATGCAGGCGGCACTACATAGTAGAATACTGAACGGTTTGCCACGTCATTTTGCAATAATACCAGCAACAACAACAACAACAACAGCAACAACGACAACTGCAAAACGACTCTTGAAAGGTTGTCTGGAGGATGATTTTGGCTTTGCACTTCGCAATGTTGAAGTTGCCGTTTTCGAAGAATGGTTATCCCTCCTAACGGCTCACCGCCTCATCGTGGTTACGAGGTGCTCCTGGGTGTCGGGCTGCGATGTGCAGCTAAAAGATTCATTCTACCGACACGGTGTCTCATTCTGAGAAGGAGTCCGGCTTTCGCACTTGGAAGCCTAGCTAAGAGTAAACCAATACCAGGAACGACCACCATCCTGGTATCAAACTAGTCGCATCGTGGCAAATCTTCGTCTGATCCACAAAGGCTACACTGCCTGTGGCGCTGACAATCTGGGCCAGGCTTTGCCAGCTGACTTCGGGACTCAAAGCAACCACAACGGCTAAACCAACAAAACTCCGACAAAGCGGAAATTATGCCGGCGTCCACACAGCCAGTGTGGGTGGGCCATTTACAAGAGCTTGTAATTAACCTAGGTCCACTGGATGAACATAGAATAGTCTTATTTAACAAAATTTATACGAGTGGAAAAACCTTCACCTAAGTAGACTAATGTCGACATATCACTGCCACTAAATGAAGTAGCTCCGCTCACAAGAGTTACAGTGTCTTTGCATGAAGTAGGTGTAAATATAAACGTCTGCTTCTGACATCTCGATCAAACTGGTATCAATACAGCTCAATAACATGGAAACCACATAAGTAAAACGAAAAGCAAAGAGGTCCTCATTATTAGAACTGTTCTGTAGCGTCTTTACCTAACAAAAATGAGCCGTCACTTAATTACATTGTGATGAGCGACGAAAAGTGAATTCCTTAAGACACTGCGCACGGCTCTATTACTGAACAATGATACTTGGATACTTGTATGGCCCATCCTCAATGATTGTGGGGGAGCCAGCATAATTTCCATTTTTAGGAGTTTTGCTGGTTCAGCCACCGTGGTTCCCTTGAGGCCTGAGGTTAGCCAAGCCAAAGTCTGCCCTAGGACGTCACCACCACAGGCAGTTGCCGCCATTGTAGATCAGAGGGAGATTTGCCATCATGCCACTAGTTTTATACCAGAACGGTGGTGGAACCTGATGTTAGTTTACTCTTGGCTGGGCTTCCTTATAGGCTGAACAGTGGTGGAGGACCAAAACACTTCTTAGTGTTAAATTTCGACGGAGTAAAAGTAATTAGTATAGCAAAAAAGTACTGACTGGAAAATAACAGAATACCGCTGGAACTAAAATCAGAACACTCGAGACCCCATTGCTATACTTCGACAACTACTTCCTTTTTTCCAGGGAAAATACCAAAGGAAAACTGTTCCTGAAAGACGCTCTGGAGAAGATTAATGGTCCAACGGTTTTATGGTCGAATGAGTCCAGTATTTTATAGAAAATGAATGAATAACTTTACGCAGTTGTTGAGAAATTTGCATGGATTTCACTTTTCATTTCGTATAGCGAAAAGGCGAGTAATCGACTCCGTTGAGAGATACTGAGTCAGCTAGTCGCAAGGCATGGTCTTGCATCACCAAGTAGCAGACAACGACTTAAAGGCTGTTGAAGAGCGATCGCTCAAACGCTAGTGGGTTTAAGGAAAGTATTCAACTCTTTTATACGCGGATGCGCAATAACCCTCTCGTATGTGCATAGTTATCTATGCATATATTCATGCTAAGCATCCTTATACGTGGATTCAACCTTTCACTTCGATTAAGCTAAAACGCTACGATCAAGTGATATTTCGTGCCAAAGACATGGAAATAAAGCTATTCTTATTCTACTAGATCTTGAAGAGCACGATGGTGAAGTGATTGGTAGGGCAAACAGTATCAGTATAAACCTGATAAAGGTTGATAAATTCTCAGGTCCGTTCCAGGTGGGCTGCACAAACTGGTATCTTTATTCAGCACTGAGCGCCTGATGATGCAGAAAAAAAAAATCTTGAGTGCAACTGATAAAAACAGTATCATACTAACCATTAAACGGAGACAGCAGAGGAGTCGGTGCCGTTGTTGCTCTTGTCAACAATAGCTTGTAAACATATCCTATTGAACTACTAATGATCCGAATCCGACGCTCACGTTTGAAAAGTTGAGAACCAACGTAGACATTGACAATTTTCGTCGATGGTACATTGATATGAAGCTAAAGGGTTGACGAAATCAAAACGTTCAGCATGGATTTTGAGAAGCTCTGCAGCGATGATTATACTATATAGAAGGTCATCGATAGCGACTTCAACACCGACATTAACTACAAGAGAACGTCTGAGGCACATCAAATCGAAACCGTGGGGTCGAAATACGAACCGCTGTCTACGTTTATCGCGATATATGAGGCTACTCAATGCTAACCACAATTCCAGAAGAGCCTTTCTTAGTATTGACATGGTATGTGGAAGTTTAACAGTGATAAGTAGCATAATAAAGCAGACTACGTTATAGTAAACCGAAGTAGTTGGCTAACCGATGTTGGCCCAAAGTTTTACATGTATTCACACCACCACGTTGTCTACCAATTTTTTATATTATACAGAGGAGGAAAAGTCATATAATTCAGGAGGCGAGGTTCAAGAAGCAAGTCGCATTAGCTGCAGGCAATACCCAATTTACATACGGGCTTACAAAGCTTCGCAGACAAACAGCAAAAAAGATTTTACCGAAATATAAGCAATACTGAATGAATAAGAGGAGACGTGCAAAGCATTTGGAACGGCTTCAGAACTTTAAGAACTAAATGGTTAAAGGGGTCACTCTCAGACGCACAGATGACCACTAACACCTAGAGAACGACAGTGAAGAAAACTGTCATTAGGTTTCACCCTAATTTGCTCCACAATCACGTCCGCTTATCACCATATCATACCGTTATGTTAGATTGAATTGACAACAGTTCTCCCCTCCGAAATTCGACACGTTATCCCGACTGCGATAAATAGTGTAGTAAGTAACTCTCAATGGACTTTACCACGACAAAAAAATCTACCGTCACTCTGCATCGACTTACTCACGAGCAGTTACATGTGTTAACACTCAGAAAGCAATGTTCTTAATCAAAAGGATAACCAAAAAGATGGAACTACATTGTTGTGCAAAAATGAAGACAAACGCAACGTTAACAATTATCACGTAATCTCTCCACTTTCACTCTCCACCTGGGTGTTTCAGGTCACCTACTAGTTCATCAATCAAAAAGAGTCATACGTACATATCTGAGTAGCGAACTCAACAAGATGGGTGACCTAGTTCCAAAACTGAGCACAGGAAATTTAACGACATGGGGAGTTCACACCAGCTTCGAAGTCTTAGTGAGCGTAACGGCCAATACCATCTCCACGTGAGATGTGATGAATAAGCATACGTATCTGAAACTAGTGACTATAAATCAATAGTAATTCGCAAACAATCATATTAAATGCAACTGAGTCATACAGCTATTCATTCATAGAAAGCAGACATCTGCGGAGAATGATAACGGTATAATTAAGGGTTTCACATAAGTTTGCAACCAACGCAGTGGTACTGCGGAATTAATTCAAGTACACTTTGCTTAAGTGGAATGGCTAGCCACAATGCGATTGAGCGGCACCACTCTAGTAAAATCCTTAATGACCGTTACAACATTCTGACGAATTTGATCTAGTAACGTACTTCCCTTGCACATTCAGACAACCTCTGCTGCCAGGTAACAGCGACGAACGGGACTGTCTCTACCTCGACTACTCACTATCCGATCGAGAACCTTATCGAATTGCCGATTGTCGCACAAAGCAGACATTCATATGCCAAAAGCGTAATAGTCAGTTCAGCCTTGTTTCATATCCTCATGCAATTTTATCTCTCATTTAATGATAAATTTCTAGTCATTGGATACTTCCTCCTACTTGCACCACTAATCAGCTCCTCAAAGAAACTTCACATTTATCCAACGTTTGTTAACGCATTCCCGTCTGCGAAAGTGCCTTTATCGACTTGAACAGTGGATGTTTTGTTGAACGCTCTTGTGAAAATAACAAGTGCCCCATAGTTCTGGAAGTTTTTATATTTAACATAATTTAGTTGCATAGTAAGAAGCGCCCATGATATATATATATATATATATATATATAAAAGATATACACCATATGGCATTCTCTCATGTAATTGGTCTGTTAGTTTAGGTGAATGCTAACGACATTTAACGCATGTGGTTAAACAATCCAATTAATTAGAACTTTCACACGCAAACAAGGGCTAATTATAACTTCAATGATGCTGAGATATTTGCAAAACTCCGGACCGCGGTGGGGAAGCTAAAAGATCGATAGAACTAGCTGAGAGACAGGCAGAAGGAAGGACCTGGATGGTGTGGTGGTGAAGTGCGCTACTCCCGGTAAGGACAATAGCGCGTGTTCGTTCCCCACTGCATACACCTGTGGTCCGGAGTTTTGCAAATATCTCAGCATCTCATACGAGTTATATTTCGCAACATAACCTGCCATTAATAAGAAAAGAGGCAGTAAATAAAAAACTTAAGATTGTGATTATAACTAGGCCTCAGCTTAACTGGGTTCAATGCCGATATTGGCTCCCCAGATCAATCCCGTTGACGGGTGATTGCTGATGGCAAAAAAAGATCGATAGAACTAGCTGAAAGACAGGCAGAAGGAAGGACCTGGATGGTGTGGTGGTGAAGTGCGCTACTCCCGGTAAGGACAATAGCGCGTGTTCGTTCCCCACTGCATACACCTGTGGTCCGGAGTTTTGCAAATATCTCAGCATCTCATACGAGTTATATTTCGCAACATAACCTGCCATTAATAAGAAAAGAGGCAGTAAATAAAAAACTTAAGATTGTGATTATAACTAGGCCTCAGCTTAACTGGGTTCAATGCCGATATTGGCTCCCCAGATCAATCCCGTTGACGGGTGATTGCTGATGGCAAAAAAAGATCGATAGAACTAGCTGAAAGACAGGCAGAAGGAAGGACCCGTATGGTGTGGTGGTGAAGTGCGCTACTCCCCGGTAAGGACAATAGCGCGCGATCGTTGCCCACCGCATACACCTGCGGTCCGGAGTTTTGCAAATATCTCAGCATCATTGAAGCTATATTTCATAATGTATACCCTGCCGTTAAAAAGAATAGGGAGTAAATAATGCGTTAAAGTGCTAATTATATCCCACAGTTGCTAAATATACGCGGATCACACTTATAGGCAGTTAGTGGATCTTGAAAAATTGCCTACTGCTAGCAGCTAGGCTGGATTTGCAAGAGGAAAGGTGAATTTCAACGGCTTGATTTGTTATCTTATTTATCCGGAATTTAGATGGGTGAGTAGCAAAATTCGTGAGCCGCTTTTCTAACGGAAGCTCAACTATGTCATTTGTTCAGCATTACTTAACTTCGTATTTCCCAAAAATCGACTGACGTTTTAGTGATGAAATGTTGCATCAGTGACCGCTTTAATCATTGTATAAAAAATAGTCATTGAGGAAGTGTTATCTCAATAATGCCGACTGAAGTCATCGTTCTCTTATTAACTTGTTACAACTTGTTAAAAAATATGGCTATAATCTTCACCGAATCACTGTAATCCTCAAAAATGCAGCTCATTTTTAAAAAGCGCAGTCAAGCAGAGATGATGTTCATTTGGCAAAATATCTAGGAACGAAATATTTTGTAAATTACAACCACAATGATGCTGAGATACTTGCAAAACTCGGAACCGTAGGTGTCTGCGGTAGTAAACCGAGCACGCTACTACCCTCTCAGGGGTAACGCGTTCACCACCATACCAACTGGGTCCTTCGTTTTGCCTGTTTCTCACCTGGTTTTGTATCTAACAATGCCATTAGCAATCAGCCGTCAAAGAGATTGATCTACGGAGCATAAATCGGGATTGAACGCAGTTAAGATGAGTCTGTAGTCGAAATCACAGTGCTAACTTTTTATTTTCTGCCTTGAAAATTTTTCCATAGCAAATATCGCAGCTTCATTGTGGTTGTACTTCACATAATACCCTGCCTTGAGAAACTGTAGCAAGCCACAAATGAAAAGTTAACAATGTAAATATTTTGTTACCGCCATTCAAATACAATGATGAGGTTAAACAGAATGTCGAAGTGGTAATGTCTTCGAAAATTTCCAGGATACGCTGCTAATTTGTGGATTTCGTTGTTATACAGTTCCTAGTGGAATGCTTTAGACTGGTCGACAGCTGTGGTGGGTTCACAGCATGAACGGATTCGGGCGGGATCGAAGATAAAAACCGTAAACTACACAATATGGCTACTAATATTGGTAGTATTAGTTCTACTCTTTATTCTCCTATGCATTTTGTGTCAAGGTAGGTACTTGTATGTTGCACTTAATACTATAGACAATACTTAGGAGGTTTAATAAAAGGATCAGGGAATTTCGAATCGAATCACTCGCAGAATGAAACATAGCAAATGCTACTATATTACTATACTACTATTATTACTAATACTACTATATACTACTACTACTATATACAAATTCGAGAAATTGTTCTAGACATTATGGTTTCGCCTTGCGTCATAATCCCATTGCTTGAAACGGTTACAATATCAAAAACGTCTTGAAGAAAAAGTCTTCAAGAAGACATGTTAAAAGATATATGCTTAAGACTTTTTCGTTCACTAGCTTCGGGATCATTAAATTTTTAGCTTTTCTGAAAAAACAGTATCAAAACCGAGTGCATAATACGGAGAGTAATCGCCTCGTTCGAGGGCTGGACATTCAATCACAGCTGAATCAGCCACAACAAAAGGAAGCTTCCAATGCTCAAGTCAATTTCCATGGAGGTATTTATATATTTGAAAAAGAGAAACTAAACTAAACTAAACCAAACTTTGATCTTAGCCAAAAGGCCGAGAAGCGATAAAGGAAGCGGATAGCACAGTGGTAGTAATGTCCGTTATCACGAGCGTGGTACTAGTTCGATTTCACACCGGGCCAACTAAGCCTCTGGACACTCTGGGGTCGGAAAATTGCTACCGGACTTGTCTGGGAAAAGATCATCCTCTGTAATCCAATTGAGAACGTTCCAGCTCGGCTATCTCAAGACTCCAGGAAGAACTGCTCGACCAGCATTCTATGACATTCAGGATGAAATGGAAATCCTCAATCAGCAACCGAAGCCACCCGTAAAAACATGGAAGACCTTCGTGGACGGTGTATGCGAGAAAACGAATTGGATGAGAGGACTGCTGGGGTCTGCACAGTAGACGTGAAGACGGATCAAACAACATAAAATAAAATAAAATAATAAAAGAGAAAATGTGATAGAAAGGAGCCGTTCGCGCGGCCTCATTTATTTGAATCTATATGAAGTTATTACCTATGAGAGAAAAGGTGCGAATTAAAACACGCAGCTATAAGAACCTGACTTCAGAATTCAATTGTAGATTACACGCAAAAAAAAGTAGATGCATAAGCGAAAAGACACATTTTTAATGAGGTCGCTAATTTATAAAACGTTTCGGTGTTTCAGCTCCGGCACAGCCTCTGAAATTACAAAAAGCGGTTCAATTATCGCCTGTGCAAGCAGACGTACATGTGAATCCTACAGAAACTGGAACACTTCCAAAGCCCATTGATGAACAAGTTCCACAAAATTCTGGCACACGTCTACTGGACAGGGAGAAGGAGCAATTAGCTGCTACAAACGCCGCAGTCCAATCATCGGCCGTACCTCCACGAAATTTACCGCCATTATCTATTCGAGAGACCACACTGCATAGTATAAATACAAGGCAGGCTCTTTAATGGTTTAAAGCAATAAGTAGTTACGGTAGAAAAGATTTTCAGAGAAGAGAGTGGTCTGCATAGTAAACCAACGTCGGAACTATTCGATCGACCAAAAATGAATGTGCTCGAAAATGTGTCAGCAATCTCGTTGGACGAATTCTGGAGCAATACGAAGGTATAAGTCGTGAGGTATGTAATAGTGTTTACATTGTTTTAACTGTGATACCAAAGTTCATGATTATGAAGGCATGAAGAGAAAGTGTTATGCATACGTCAACTGACGACATAAATGTGCGGGAGAATTCTGTAAGAATAACGAAAAGTGAGGATTTATTGGTAAATAACGAGAAGTCACAAACACAAATATCATGATTCTAGGTAACGATTCATGTAGTAGTTCAATTACAGTAGATATATTGCAAATTTGACCTTTTCGGGACTATTACATAAGCGACATTCATCTTCCCATTTTTTCTACTTCATTTACAACGAGCATGCTAGAGAAACGAATGACCAATCGATTATCTAAATCGCGGTCTTCACAGACGTAAATAGTAAAAAATAAAGCGCCTATGATCATTCAGCAGAATATTGATATTTCTACAACACTCGCTAGAGATGTTTTAACGAATCGTGCAAGTTTGAGCACTACTTTAACCACTACTGAGCATCGCACATAGAGGTTCTCAATGTCCACACGTTGGGACGCCGATAAGATTTACTTCTTGGTCTCGCAGTCTAACCTAATTTTAAGTGCTGCTCGACAATGTCAACTACGTCCTCAAGATGACAATATTAACTTTTGATAGAGCTTCGTTATGCGCGTACAATATGCTGCAATAGAAGGGCAAAAAATTCCCCCAAACAATTAAAGCCAGCTCTAAAGTCACATTATGTTTTTTTATATGTGCCTATTTCATTTTAAAACACATCATTCTAACATACTCTGGCTAAGCAGCAGGGTTCCCAGAGTGGGTGACGTGTAACCTCAAGCCTCTTCCGCGTATAGCATTGCAGATGAATTGAAATTCTGCGCAAACAGTGACATAGGTCCGGGCCTGTCAATCCGTTAACGATTCTTTTAGAAGTGAGAAAGCAACTTGTAATTATTTCCTTCTTCTCTTAAAATTCGTTCTTCAGCTATGCCTTTCTTAAGCAAAGAACCTTCCATTCCAATTCCTTTACCAAGAGTTCAATAATCTGGTCTTTCCGGCTCATTCCCACTAGTTTCTCTTCTCTACTTATACCATCTGCAATCAATAACAGCAACAATGAGAAAACAACACTCTGCACTAACAATACTAAATCTAAGTGATTTTCTTCGTATTTTTGTTGAGCAAATGCGAGGTGTTACTATTCTTTGTTCACGATTAAGCTGACGTTTCGGCGGATTTCGCCTTCTTCAGAGCCTGGAAAGGTCAAGTTCATAGCAACCCACTCGGCCAGACGCCTCCATAACCAAACAAAGAAACTCCAAACCAAGATTTCAATCACTTTGAACACAGCTTTGCACACTCACCGCTTTCTATGAGGTCTCCACTAAGTATGTCACGTAGAGACCAACCGCACAGAAATCACGTGGAAGTATAATGTGCCCCTCACATCAGAAAATTTTTTTTTTTTTTTTTTCTATATCACGCGTGATAATGAGGCATTCTTCCCTGCGGTTCATTTTCGGATTTCTGGAATTAA